CAGAAAACCTTTGAACGTTACGTGAACTATTGCTCTATAGTCTATGATGATATCTTATCTCGCAATTATTTATAGCGCACAAATAATTGAAGACGTATACGAGCTATACTTCTGTAAATGTGTGAAATTATAGGGTGAGAGAATTTTAATAATAACTGACGATGGCTATTAAAAAACTCCAACAGTGGATAAAAATTAAATGATTTCAAAAYATATTATATGAATAGCTCGAAATCACACGTAATATGTATACTATGTAGGTGTAATACATATATATGTAAATAATATAATATAATATTGGTATTTTGGTTATTTGCAAATAAAATGCGATAATACTTAAATTTAAAAATCTAAAAAAATAAACCTTAAATTCAAAACGGCCCTATAAAGACATGGGTAGAAATACTGAATTCACACGGTCCGAGAATGAACATAAAAAAAAATTAATTAAAATAATAAAAAACCATTACTCTGTTCGGGCGGCATTGAGTGAAATAAAAATGATCATACAGTTACGTAATCAAATACAACCATGGACGATGAGAAAACGAGATCTAAGCCTGCATTTTACTGGAACTTTATTATTATAAGGTGGGAGTGTAAGTGGTATTGTATATTTTTATGTTGAAAATGACTTATACTCGACGCGCGTCTTTAAGGATGACATACCGAAAAACAAACTTAATTTTGTCCATGCATATCATTTGTTTTTCGGTCAGATACTCGTATCGAGTAGCAGATGTTCCGAAAGTTGTCATTTTAAACTAAAATAAGATTRCATAAAACATAGATTGATACGACTGGATTGGCACGACGCTGTTAGGAATTGATATAAATTATTATTGTATACAGATACGCAGTGGCACATAGAATATTATATTATCATAATATGGTAACGACGGAATTAATCTCGATGGTATAAAGTCTATATCAAATATTATATTATTGCAATATAATTTATGGTGTTGTAAAAAATAATGTATTTTTTTTTTTTTTTTTGGTTAACTCCGTTCTGCAAGTAAAACATAATACGACCTTATATGCTCGTATTAAGTACATATTATTATGATAATAATACATTATAGGATTATTATACACTTCACACTCATCCGAAAAGAGGCGTCGGAGGGCTTTTCTCCCACTTCCACCTATATTGTAACCACCGGAAACACTGCACTGACAAACTCGGTAGGTAAGTGAGATATTTTACGCGTATAGGACATTTTTTAACTGCGTAAACAGCCACTTGATAATTTTATACGTCCAATTTGAAATAACAAAAAAAAAAAAAAGCAATGAACACAATATTACAATATATAATTATCTCGGGGCACGAATATCCCATAAAATAATTTTGAAACCAAAGTATAATATCTACAAACAGATTAAAGGACATCAACCATTGACTTTTACGCGGTCGATATAAGATTTCCAGACCTCAGRCAGATRATTGTATAGATATTTTAATATTACATACTGTAAGGTCGGCACTTTAAGTAATGTTCGTGCAGTATTATTAATACGACATGCATGTCATAATTATTTGTGTTATATAATATATATATATATATACGCCTTTACGCGTGTGAGTGCATACGTGATGTTATTAATTATTCGATGGAAAATAAAACTCGATAAACCTGTTGAAAATGAATACAAATAAAATAATAATTTCCTTAAATCAACGTCGAGAAAATAACAAATGATG